ATTTTAAAGTTTCATCCAATGAATTTCACCGAAGTTCACGTATATCTGAAGTGCATTCATATCATTATATGAAATACACTTCTCGCACAGTCTGCATACTATTTGGAGGTGTCAATAGCCCTTCGTGGCATCTCTGATGGTGGTGTCAATAGCCCTTCGTGGCACCTCTGATGGTGGTGTCGATAGCCATTGCTGACACCTCCAGTAGGTGTCAATAGCCATTGCTGACACCTCCAGTAGGTGTCTATAGCTCTTGCTGACACCTCTTAGTGGTGTCAAGTCCTTCGAATTATTTGCCGTATAATTGATATCGGCTATAATTGTCAGTTTAAATAATACAGTAGAATCTTATTTATTTATTTATTTATTTATTTATTATTTTACGGTTAAAAACTGCGTACGACTCAACGCTAACTAATCATGGCAAAAGTTGCTGAAAAGTGATTTTTCATAAACTTCAAATAATCTTAGTACTGTACGGTACTAAGCCTTTTTCAAAGAAATTTGGACGAGTTTGTCCAAGTCAATATATTGAGTGAAAATCGACCAATCTAGTAGCATAGTTAGTAAGAATCCGTGACTCTGCACTCCAGTATATCGAGACGACATTGAGATGCAATACAGATATCCTACTCTGTTGGAGCTAGATAACCAAATAAAACTAAGCCAAAGATCTAGATAAAAAACGGTGATATTGATTAATATCGCAATTTTTTATCTAGATAGTCTCATATAAGTTTTCAGGTTAAAACCTATCTATATTGCGTTAGATATTGTTCTATCTAAATATATCTGATAATGTATAGAGTTATCGAACTACACTCTCTTTCCCAATTATCTAGATATATTGACCATTATATTGACTTTTCTTGATATATCTAGTACTACATTGGGTTATCTAGCTGGTATTGTCCAGTACTCAATATATCAGTTAACATATGTATGTAGATATATCTAGTGGTATATTGGATTATCTAGATATATTACCCAAAACTAGATGGTCTTTATTTTCTTGGATCAGATCAATTTCTTGTTTACTCAAACATAACGTTTCATCTAGAAACTCATGCTATTTATGATGGTTTTGTGTGTTGTATTGCATTTGATTTGTCTGTTGTAATTATCATTTTATTGGATCAAGAAAAGGTTAGATTAATATTATTCAAATTTGTATGTTTAGTAGTTTTCACCAAAAAAAAAAGATAATATTATTGTTAAGATTTTAGAAAAACGTAGATAAGTATATGAAAAAATCGGTTAAATAAGATTCTACTGTATTATTTAAACTGACAATTATTGTCGATATCAATTATACGGCAAATAATTCAACACGCATCATTTAGTGATATAATCATATTCATCGTCATTTCATTGCTCATTCTTCGTCTTATTATTATTATTTAATGTTTTCTCTTCATTTTCTAATACTCGTAAAACATCATACGCAGCTTTTTTTACACGTTCAACAACTTTTTCTTCTGCTTCTTGATCATATGCATATTTATCACTTTCCATTGTTAAAATTGATTTCAAAGTTGTCATAAATAATTGATTTTGTTTAAGAATTTGTGCCACTTGTTCATCATATGCTAATATGCATATTAATTCTAATGCATCTGATTTATTTGTTATTGAATGTGAATTACCATCTTCATCAAGAATTTGTAAAAATTTTATAATAAATGATAAACCATCTTGTTTAATAAATTCTTCTTTTATTTGATCATGTTGTAATAAAGCTAAAAAATAAACGACATTAATTCAGTTGAAACAAATCAGGTAGGATAATTGATTGTTTGTAAAAATTCTATTATGAATCAATCAGTTATTTCATATAAAGAATATTTTATAAGTATTGATTCATTGTGAAATATAAATGGAATAAAGTAATGACATTTGCTAGCGCAGTGGAATGTTTAGTGAACTATTGTGCCATATATCATATTATTAATATATTTCTGTAAAACATAACAAAATTTCATGGTTCTCAACAGTACGTTGTGGCAAAAACAGACAATCAATGAATCAATCAGTTTATTTTAACACGAATATGTCTAGGACAAAAAAGATAGAACTTAAATGAATGTAACGTTACATAGGCGTATATAACGTAGGCGCTTTGAGATCGATTCTATTGTATGGCATAAAAATTGAAGAGGATTGCAGCCTGTCTACTTTAACTAATTTACCGGAGCGTGTTTGCATTACCGTTTAAGTTTTTATTTTATCATTTTTGAATAGTTCATTGTACAAACACAATTGAAGTCTTATTTTCTAGCTAAAATTGTACTCTACAACAATACAGTATTTGTTTACTCTAATCACCTGTTTTCTCTTCAGTTATATCAAAAGTACACAAAGCCCTAAAACTCTAATTTTCATGAAATTTTAAGCCTTTTTGTACTTTTGATATAATTGAAGTAGAAACAAGTGATTATAGTAAACAAATACTGTATTGTTGTAGAACACAATTTTATGTAGAAAATAAGACTTTAAGTATGAATAATGTCATAACGATGGCTGTAGTTACCATAAATATATGATTAAACTATTATTTTTTTATTAACAACAGAATGTTAATTGCTAATATTGTGCTTTTAACAAAAAAGCATCATCAGAACTATAACTTATAATGTAAATGTGTATGTAACTGTATACATATAACTCAAATAACTTTTATAAACTACGAAAGAACACGCTCATTTAATAAATACATAAAAGGAAAAGAAACCATAAAATTAATACAGACAATAGCTCATTTCATAAAGGATATGACACTCTGTGTTCACATATGTTTGAGAAAAAATTGCTATTTTAGCTCAACGAAGAAAAGATTTTTAGAAAACCTTTTCATGATTTTCGGAACCTTAATGAAGCAAATATTGAAAAGTCTATATTTGTTGAATGAAAGGTGATAGAGAGCTGGGAAGTGTTTCGTTTAGTAGATAAAGACTACAAGATAAAGACGATCAAGACTTTCAATGGCGACCATCCATCCATTACTAACGTTCCATGCGAGCATGAAAAAGAAAAGGCTAAACATTAGTCATAATTTCTGTTTCTAATAACAGAAAAAACAAAAATACACATGAATTGTTCGTACATTTTTCATTCATAATAGGTGAATTTTATACCACTCATACTAACAATCAATAGAAAGAAAGAAAAAACTCAACTTTTTGTGAAAATAAACTCAACTTTGACGAGAACTGAATACGCTGAAATGGGTGATCCAAGCCTTGTGACATAGCTCATTTCAATGTATTCAGTCTCATTATAATTGAATTTACTTTTAAAAATTGAACGGTGAGGATGAGGATAACAATACGCGAGTTTTACGCCGCTAATATATCAATTTATAAACAGGAACTCGACTTTTTGTTAAAAATAAACTCAATGTGAATGAGAATTGAATAACTTGGAATGAGTGGCCCAAGCCATGGAAGCTTAGATTGATCTTTACTGCGCAGTAAAAGCCACTCCAAGCTTCTAAGGTATGTGCCACTCATTCCAACTTATTCAATTCTTGTTTAAATTGAGTTTATTTTTAACAAAAAGTTGAGTTTTTTCTTTCTTTCTATGAACCTTTTATGATTCTTTATAACTGAAGGGTGATTTTCAATGGGGGACGGAGGAGAGGGAGCCTTAATGAGAGAAAGTCACCACAACTGCTAGTTAAAGAAGGATTTTACAGTAAAATAAACACAATACCGAATTCTAACTTCACTAATAACAGAAATGAACTATAACAAGTAGAATTTCTATAAAAAATATTTTATTTACCTTTCAGTGTGGTGATTAATTCTGTATGATAAGACTCAAATATGTAAGTAGAATTTTCATGACCCTCTTTTAAAAATCCAATAAACATTGATATTATTTGATCAGGTTGAGCTAATTTTTTAACATCATCTTTACTCATAACTAATGCTAATATATTATAAGCAAGACGTTGGATTGATTGAGAATTAACAGTTGTTAAGTTTAATATTGTTTCTGTTATATGTTTATCTTTTACAATTGAAATGTTATCCGAATCACATACACAAGCATATATCTTGTTTAATGTAATATAAATGAATTTCTCTGGTATACTTATTTCCTTTAATGAATCCAAATTTTCTGGAAAGGAATACTGCCACTCCCAATCACCGTGAACTCTATTTGCATAATTATATTTCTCTTGACTATTATCTTTCAGTAGAGAATCAACAGGCATCTTATTGAATAATAACATTAGATCATCAATGACATTTAAGAATTGTTTTGTTGTATATAATCTATTTAAAATTAGAATAATATACATGAATGAACTTATAATTGATTTATTTTCAAATCTATTTGATATAAATATTAATTGTTTTAACATAGAGTCATAAGATTGTGACATTCTATTAAATAATTCATTATTTATATCTTCTTTTGCACTAAAGATATACTTTACACAAGTAAATAAAAAAAATTCATCTTTATCAGTATAGGTACATGAGTTGAGTTGAATATGTTCAAATGAATTTTTATAATTAATTGAAGTAATATGTGCTAATAACAATTGATCAAGTGGTTTTAATATAACTTCTAAACAATCACGTTCTCTAGGATCTCTCACTGTTAATTTAGTTATTAATTTCGTCAAATTTAAATAATATTGATCATCATATGTGTTTATGTTTAAACTATTTTCTAAACATATTTTTATTGTGTTTACTAATGTTGAACGATCTAATATCATATTTAATCCACCAGATAGACATCCATGATATGTTCTTTGGAATATATCGATTATTTTTGAACAAATTAATTTATCATGTTCATTTAATGTTAACCATTTATCAAATAAATTTGTTAATATTGATATGATTTTCGGAAATAATTTATGTCCCATTAGACACGTACTGGACAACATAGGCACTTGTAAAATAGCATCAATAACATCATCATCTATGATCGATTTTTCAAGATAACCATCAAATGTGATAAAACGTATATAATATGGTAATATATCATTGTGTTTTTCGCTACCATCACTCTTAGTTACAAATTCCATTATGGAATCGAATATTGGTTTAAGCATATTGGTTTTGTCATCATCAGAAAGATCTGATAAATATATTAATCTATCTACCAATGTCCGAATAATTCTTACAACTGGATCATATGATGATTTCAATGATATATTGTCAATATTTGCTTTTATTACGTTTAATAATGGAGGATAAAATAATAATTTATTATATATTTCTTCATTTCGTATATCACGTTTCCCGGAACGATATTCCAATGCTAATTCTTCAACTATCAAATCCAGAATCTCGGTATCCTGTTCATTTAATCCATTCTTAGATTCTTTTTCTAATAAATCAATTAATCTTGATCTTATTTCTATAAATAGTTTATGATCAACTAAATTCAAGAACATGACATTAGGTATGTCCCTAATGATTCCAAAAGTTTTTTCTATTATATTGTCTTTTTCATTATCTTTTAATTTTTGTAATTTTTCAAATAAATCATCAAAAATAAGAATATATCCATCAGTACTAACATCAGTCTTCGCCATTTTGTTGCTTGTTATAATTGAGAATCTGAAGTTGAATTTATATATTATAACTATTGTTCAAACGTAAACAACACTGTACATATAGTGTTTATAATCGGAAAAAGGGTATGTCATTTTTTTTGTCTTTTTTATCTTTCTTACAGTTATTTTGTTTATTAAAGTTATATTCGATACTTTGATTTCTAAAATTATTTATTTTAAACGTTTCAACTTCTTTTATTGAGATCTTCTTCAGTGATTTAAAGTAAAGACAAGTGTGGAAAACGGAAGAAAACGAGAAGTGAAATACGCTAAAACAAATACTATCCGATAAAGAATAACTAGAGCTCTACCAGTTAAAAAGAATGCGATTGATTCTCATTCATTCCATTCTAATTCTCATTGTTTTTCTCTACCTATGACTGCTTTTTGTATCAGGAGCAAAAGAAAATCTGTGAAATCATTTCGCAGAATGAGAATTAATCGTGTTCTATTATTAGAACTCTAGCGTATTTGTCTTTATCTTTATCTCGCATATACGACATTAATGTTACATTCGGATATGGATATGTGGCATACAGAAAAAAAAAGAAGAAGACTTACACTCTAGAATTCTATTATTTATAAGAGTGAAGGGAGAATTTTTTTATGTTTCTGAAAGGAGAGACTGACTGGAATATAATATGTTTCTCTTCTCTTCTCTTTTTTATTCTCTCTGTATACATAACGTTTTTGTCTTGTATTTATGTAGACATAAGGTTTGTTATAGCCAAAATACATTATTATTAAATTTCATTATTATTCAAGTACCACTTTTCAAGTTTCAAATTAAAAACAGTTGGTGATTCATAGATACAATTCACTGATCGTTGCTAGCTGTTGTGCTTGTATGCGTCTGTGTAAGAAATATGGAGAATCAAACGCAGTTTTTTTCAGTCCTAGAGCTTTACTGTGAAGGATACAAAATTTTCTTTTTTCGCTAACTGTTTTTCTTTTGTCCTTTCTCGTACCATAGATATTTAATTTCTCTGTATCTAGAGGAACCTAGTTGTATTTATTAGAGCTTTAGCGTATAACGCATCTTCTTTATATGACAAGATACGCACAGATTCGGACCAAAAAGGCGTGCGCAGAAAGAAACAGGAAATTTTTTATCAATCAAATGGAAAGAGAAGCAAAGAGAATTGCTTGTTCTGGTGCCTTTCTGAATGTGTTCTTATGTCCCACATACAGGTTTCTGTTTGCGTCATTAAAAACAAGAATATAGAGCGCTGTACGCTAAAGTTCTATTCATAAGAGTGTGAAGTTTTTTATGTTTCTGAAAGAAGAGACTGACTGGAATATAATATGTTTCTCTTCTCTTCTCTTTTTTGTTCTCTCTTTATGCATAACTTTTTTGTCTTGTACTTGGTGTCATTATAGCTGGTGTTCCCTCATAACCAAAAAGTGTTCCACCATCTGACACTAAATTAGTGTCAGATGGGGGAACACTTTTCCATCATGGGGAACACCCGCTATAGTGCCACCATACCTTACAGTAATACATAGTGGAACACCTGCTATAGGAACATCGAGATAGAGACAAAAATGAGTCATAGATAGAGAAAAACAATGAGAATTAAAATAGAATGAATGAGAATCGATCCCATTCTTTTGAACTCCTATAGCTCTACTGTGAAGGATAATGATGGCTTCCATTATTGTTGGTATTAGTGCCTCTAGATTTTTTTACACAGAAAGTAACTCACAATACGAAGCGTTTTTAGAAGCGAAAACACTTATTATATCGTTGATCTAGGCAAACCATTCATTATAGGAGTAATTGTCTACAATAACAGAAACCATACTCTAACCCCATCACTATTCTCCAATCGTAGGGTATGAGTCATTGGATGTAGGACAACGACTATATGTAATTTTTCTCTATCTAGAGGAACCTAAATATTCATAAGACTGGGGAGACGGAAGAAAAGGAGAACTGAAATAAAAACAAATACTAGATATCTAGCAGTTAGTGGTTTTTCTTTATCTCACATATGACAACATATAATAATTACATTTGATCCCATTTGGTAAAGCAGAACAAGAGAAGAAAAGAAAAGAAAAATACTTGTGATCATAGGAGAGTGAGTCATCCTGTCGTAACAAGCATAGACAGTCTATTGGCCAACCATGGGAACAACGCTTCGTTCTTGATTTACAGAAATTCAGCATAAGCAAGAATTTTTTGAACTGAAATTTCACGTGCCATTGACAGAAAATGTTTTTCTACTAGTAGTAAGTTATGATTACCATTTCAGCTCTTTAGGGTGAGCCGTTCGACTTCCCACAATAGACAAAATGGTCATGCAAATAGTGCTTTTATGATTATATAAAGGTAGTTGCTATCGATACCACGCATGTGATGACTGCCAGAATATTATTTTTACTTAAGATATAAACAGGGAGCAGATATATAATGAACATATGAGCAAATAATACAATTTTTTTAAAATATCAAGCAAAACGGAATATTGTAAAAGTTTTTCTTATTAGTCTAGAGCATTCAACAGATCCCAAATGTATTTTTATCGTCTACAATGTCCAATTTGATTGGAAAGCAACTGATATTTTCTTATAATTTACTCTGGTAAAACTTATGAACAAATATATTAATGAATAAACTAACGACAAGATTCGGGATGTTACAAACAGGATGAGTGAATAAATTAATTCGACAGCGGGTTCCTTATAATTACTTTGTTGGCGTCGACATAATCAACATGGTTTTTGCCTAAATTTTATTTTTCTCATTGGCGCCTTTTCTCACTTTCTGGTCTATGTTGTTACAAGATTCTTATTTCTTTCCATCTCAGACATGTTTGTCTTGAGGTAGTCATCAAAACCGTTCTCAAGCGACCGCTTGAACGTTGACTTGTTTCGTGTCGTCTAGAAAGGTCAAACGTAGAAACTTAAAACCTACTTATCTACCAAAATTTACTAATCTAACCTTAGATGATGATACGAACTCGATCTTCGCATTTTCCCCACTTCCTCGTGTGTTATACACATTGTAATTGCTCTGACCTTTACGAATAAAGGAAAACAAAACTTACATTCAGTTCCCGAGTCAAATGATAAATACAATAGCGATCACTTTCAGCCATAAATGAAATCAAAAATTTCTTCGAGTAAAATAATTTCACAATTGAACAATAATTCTTATCTATACAAAGGAAAAGACGAGCATTACGGCGATTGTCATAAAAAAAGACCTCGAATTGTTAATAACTGTAACACATTTTCGACTACAACTGAGTTGCATTGCGAACAGGAATATCGATCGAAGCCGTCCATACCCGTTTTATCTAATTTTGAAAAGTAGATGTGTCAAAAGCAGAAATCGCAACAAAGTATGGAAAAGTTCTTCCACTTGAACAGAAACATCGGGTGTTTATTAGTTGTTTATTCTACAAAGCTACAGTTTTGGAATATGTATAGAAATGCATGTAAAGAGGAGTTTGTCGATGAAGAGTCGCATTTTACCATTTTTGATTAGAAAAGCCACCTTCTGTTCACACAGAAATGAAAAACAAATGAGCTGTATAAGTTCATTACCGATCTGTGAGGACCACGTCAATTTATTAAGAAGATAAATCTAATTCCAATAGGTGTAAAAAACTGTAGACAGGTTACATTATTTAAAATTTACTACTACCACTACAAACTACTACACCAAAAATACATTTCCTTTCAAACGTCTGCAAGTTTAGATGCTGGTTTGTATTCGAGAAAAATTATGTCATCATCATCGCCGCCAGCATACTTCCATTCAGTTAATGCAACGTCATCATCTAAACGATAAATACATGTGAGAAAACAACTAAACGATAAATAGCCACTTACCCTCCGCATTTTCTACAATCATTATGTCATTATCTAACAGAGAAAAACTTTAAGAACACGTTGTGTTAAGGTATACGAATAAACCTTTTTCAGCATCGTCTTGTTCCTCCATAAAAACTATATCATTTTCATCTGAACAGAACAATAAAATACAAACAGAGAATACAGGTAAGAGAATGATCTTGCATCGAAACAATATCAGCATCAGCTCTTGTCTCTTCTTCTAATATCATTGTATCAACCACATCTGTCGTCAATAGTGAGAGTAAACGGCATGTTGGCAAAATATCTGATGAAATACAATCTTGAGTGTCGTCCCATTCGAAATTTTCAGTAGACGAAACGTGACACGAGGCGCTTCAGGCACATGAATTTCTTTCGAAGCGCATCATTGGAAACATTGAATTATCTCCATGAATGTAAGGCCGATCGAGATGAACACTTGAAACAAGTCATGGAAGAAGCACAAATCGACATTGACTCAAGACTTATTCTTGATCCTCGCGAGAATGAGATCGAAGAGATCACAGACATTGATTTTGTCATGGATGCGTTAGCTACGTTCGTCAATAGCAACACAAACATGGCATGTCCGAGCACAAGAAAACGGAATAGCAATACATACATGGAAACTACATTGAATCTGGTCGTTGGAAGTGGTCGATTGTCGTCGCATTCTGATAGTGAGTAAAAAAGAACTAACTTTACTGAAAGCTTAGTACTTTTTTAAATTTGTTACAGATACGACAAACGGTCTTCCACTCGATTATCTTATTCCAGTGACCAGAGACATATCAACGGAAAGCAAAGAATGGCAAGCGACCATAGCCGAAGAAAAAGAGAAAATTCGTAACAACCGAATCACAGAACATGGCAACAGTGGGTCCAGTTTGTATTCAGACGGGTCTCTGGCGATCATGATCCGTGACTTATCAAAGCTGTGGAACAAGCAACAAGATGGTTGTGTTTTACCCGTGGAAGTTATACGTACAGTGACACCAGTGCAAGTTACGAGGAGATATACGTTAAACAAAGAACAACAACGAGCAAAGACCGGAAATCGGGGCGTGTAACATGATTGATGGCACGTTGTATATCTCTTTATCGATGAGATATCGATGGTCGATCTCACCCTTCTGGCCCAGCTGGCCAAAGTAATGCCTGTGGGAAAGCGAGCTCCCGCTGGCTTGCCGTTTGGAGGCGTAAATGTTATTTTCTTCAGTACCCGGCTATTGGCGACCGTTCACTGTACTGCAATGTGGCAAAGGTCTCCTCCAAGAACGAAACTGCGAAAGTCAATCAAAAGGATATTGACAGAGCTAATGCTCGCGATCTCTTTTTACAAGTCAACCATGTCGTTGAACTAGTCGAGCAGATGCGCAATGATGATTTCGAATGGACAAAAATGCAAACAATTTGCGCATGGGCGATTGTGACGGTCTACTAAGGTCCACTGATTTTCTGATTTTCTACTTCTTTTTCTCAGTTTTTCTGATTTTGATCTTTTATTTTCTGATTTTCGTGTTTTGGATCTCGTATCCCTTGGTTTAATACAACAAAAGTCAAACTTTTGTCATGGAGACAAGAAGTCCCTTGGTGACTTCGATATCTTCATCCAGACGAGATTGAAAATATTGAATCTCAGTCCAGTGTATCGATTGTCCGAGCCAACCTTACCATCAAATGTGGTTATCTTGTTCATCCACGAGCATGATAAGCCTCGAAAAATGCTCTGTTCACCTGAAGGTTCTATCATTCGATATGAGGTCGCTGATAGGTTTGCAATCAGACGGTGTCAGAATCGAAGATCTCTGAACTTTGACCAAAGTTCGAACATTTCTCGTAGCTCTTGAACGTCGAAATATACTTCTCTATACGCACGTTGATCCGCTGATTACGATAAACATCTACAGAAGGTTCGAGGACCACGTGGAGCTGAGATATCGAACGTTTTTAGCAAAAATAGTGATTCCTCTTTGAATTTGGAACGCCTTACACTGTAACAATTAATCCTACTGCAAAAGAGACGGAAAGTCAGATGAACGGAAACACCTTTTAGTGTCTCTAAAAGAGATACAATAGTGTCGAAATGAGGGGGAGGGACGGTGAGGGGAGGCGAAGTTAGGGTGTTTCACAGAGTAAACATGTACGACCATAGAGTAAATGAGTCAACAACAACAGACATTTTTTCAAATTTAATTTTAATAATTAAATCGATTTTCGTAAATTTTCGTTGACACAACTTTTTAACAATCCTTTCTTGACTCTAAGATGTCAAAGTGTGTTTTTTAATGTCTCTTTACTACATAAACAAATCCAAAAATAGTTCAAAACAATGTAATGCTTAATATTGCTCTAGCTGTGCCTGTATAAGAGGCATACGTACCAGAGCTCCTAATCGGGTGAATTTCTGATGGCCCACCTGGATCAAGCCGAGCCAAAAAAGGTTGAGGCCTGCCCGACCCATCTTGCTAATCGATTGGCCCGGTTCGGCCAGTAGTCTTTCCTGGACCGCCCGACTGTAAAGACTGTAAATTCTTTCTGGACTCAATTCAATTTTGTTATGACAAAAACGCAGTAAAAGCTTTACTAAAGATTAGTTCAGCAGCATCTACATATTGTACAGCACATATTGGAGAATCGATTGTACAATAAACTGAGTAAAGGATAGAATTCCTTTAGATGGTGTATTTGTTTCTTCTTCTGTCATTAGGCACCTGAATTGACCAGTGATCAAACTCTTTTGTTCTCACTAGAATTCACTAAAAACCTAGAACACCTAGGAATAGCCAAATTTAACTGAAAATATGGAGAAAAATTTTAAAATTTCTCGGACCGTAAAAAACGCTGACCCGACCGAGCTAAAAACGTTTCCTGGACGGCCCGCTCGTCCCGAAAAAAAAAGCGACTGGCTCGGCTCCGCCTGGCCTGGTCCTCGGCGGATCGGTCCCGGATCAGGTCATCGAGTCGGGTGGATCAGCAGGAGCTCTGATACGTACACACTAAAAGATAAAGTGATCTTAGCAAAATCGCGTCTGCAGAAAGCGTCATTTGTGTGTCTCTTTATTAAGGCATACAAATTGAGAGAAAACACGTTGGAGACACTTGAGTCACGCTGTCTGAATAAAACGCTCGCAATATATATACATAAATTTCGTTATAGCCTTTCAGAGATATAGACAGCTCATAATTTTATTATTATTCAAGTACCACTTTTCAAATTTCAAATTAAAAACATTTGATAATTAATAGATACAATTACAATACACAGATGCATACAAGCACAACAACTAGGAGGGATCAGTGATTATTATTCTAATTGTATCTATTAATTATCAAATCTTTTTAATTTAAAACTTGAAAAGTGGTACTTTAATAATAATAAAATTATCAGCTCTCTCTATCTCTGAAAGGCTATAACGAACTCTATGTCTATATAAGAACCAGACAAAAATTTTATTTATACAGAGAGAAAAAAAAAGAGAAGAGAAGAGAAACATATTATATTCCAGTCAGTCTCTTCTTTCAGAAACATAAAGAAATTCATAGAGTGGCAAAGAAAATCGATATAAACCATTTGGAAAAATGTCCATGGAAATTACGCACATTCACTCTTTGTATACTCAAATCTAAAGGAGAAAACATCATGCCGTGACTATAGGTCGATCGTATTAACAAGACAGAATTACGAAATCGACATCTTACAGATGAGCTATGGTTGATATTGCGAGCGTTTTATTCAGACAGCGTGACTCAAGTGTCTCCAACGTGTTTTCTCTCAATTTCTATGCCTTAATAAAGAGACACACAAATGACGCTTTCTGCAGACGCAATTTTGCTAAGATCACTTTATCTTTTAGTGTGTACGTATGTCTCTTACGCAGGCATAGCTAGAGGTCAATATTAATCATTACGTTTTTTTAAACTATTTTTGGATTTGTTTATGCACAACGACTTCTCGGAGTCGAGAAAAAATTTGGTATTCAATTCACATTATTTTCAAATGCTTTTACTTAAGATGCAGATAATGCAGAATTCAAGTGGAATTTTTTTTAAACTTATTATACATCATTTGAAAGAGGGTCTCAAACTGTACAACAATATTGGTTTTTAAATTTTTTTAAACTTTATTTTCTTGTCGAAAATTTGAAAAAACTCGAAAGAGGTCAAAAAGGGAAAAATGCGACCTCTATAGTAAAATCTACTTTTTGAAGATGTATTACACGTCGTAGTTTTCAAACTATTTTTTCTGAATGAGCGTTGAAAACTGATGTAGAAACAGCCTTTTAGCTTATTTCGAGGTCAAGTACTTATCAGCCACTCTTGACCAAATATACAAGTCAGTTTTTTTACCTATTCTGTCATATGCCCCAAGTCAACTTTCGCGATGAAATCGCGGCGCGACTCGCGCTAAAAAATCGCGCCGCGATGCGATCGCTATAAGACTCGCGAAATAAGACGCGATTTTAGCGATCACTGTTTTGTCGCGATATAATACTGAATGGGATGTATATTTGCTATTCTCACGATGTAATCTTACATAGAAGTACGTACGTTGACATTGTCGCGCCGCAATTCTTGCTTACGCAGCGGGAGTCAGCGCGACTCGCTATTTGTCGCGGTGTGAATCTCGTTGTCGCGGCGCGATTTTAAATGCATTCGCTATTTTTCTTTTCTTTGAACTCGTACAGTGATTGTTTTCGTTACTAGGATAGTTTGAAAGCTATTTTGCTTGCTGCCAGATTGTTTTTAACGTCGCT